GCATGTGAAACCCATGTGATTACATGTGAAACCCATGTGATTACATGTGAAACCCATGTGATTACATGTGAAACCCAAAATCCCCATGTGAAATCCATGAGCTTACATGTGAAACGTAAAATTCCCATGTGAAACATTTAATCACATGTGAAACCCATGAGATATCATGTGAAATGTAAAATATCTCATGTGAAACCCATGGAATGACATTTGAAACCCATCAACAATCCATATTAAAGCTACACACCATGTAAACCTGTAACTTCATGTGAAATCCATGTAAAAATCATTAAGCAATATACCACAGAAAACGGTAGGCCTACCATGTTCTTGTGTAGGCTCTATAGCCTAATGTTTCCCAACATTAAAACAAATAATTCAAATTTTTTTTTTTTTTCCACTTTTTATTTCATTTCAAAATATGCAATACAAATTGAATGTTTAAAACAAACAAAGCAAAACCAAATTAAAATTATACATAAAAAGCCGCAAAAAACGCAGGTATACGCGCATGTGTGTGTGTGTGGTGTGCGTTTGTGAAAGTGTGTTGTCTCAGTCCTTTGTGTCTCCTGCAGCAGGCATCCTGTTTTGGGATAGAAAAAGATCAAAGATTAGGGCAGTGCAAACCATAGACTGTAAAAAAAAATATGGACGTAGTGTCCGTGACGTCACCCCGTAGGTTTCTGAAAAGCAATTTTATGGGGCTTAATAATTAATTATTATTCATTTGTAATGTTATTATGTCATTAAACGTTTTACGTAAATATGCTATGGAAATACATCTTGCTTAAACAACTGTATAAGACGAGTGGTGCGTCTCATTTATAAAAAAAACTATTGACAGTTTGTGAATAGATCACAATGTAGACTGAGGAATAAACTGAGTCATCAGTCCTCGCGCATGTCGGTTTCGCAAATGTGAACAGACCACATGGGGATCACACTTGGATGTTGGATCGTCTGAATATTACCTTTCTGCTCGTCTCCTCAGATCTTTTAACTTTTGTGCCATGCAGACCTTGATCTCAGTGCCTCCGATGCCTGGGTGCCTCTTTTTGACATGGTCTGTAAGAAATGAGATTGATTACATTAAAATTTGAAAACAAGTTTGACATGAAGTGACATAACTGTCAGATTCAAACTGTGCTTTCCGCGCTATGGCTGGCGCTGACGGACGCGCTCAGCGCTTGTCATATATAATAACTATTGATAAAAGATATTCAGACATGCTTACCAATTATTAGCTGCACCTTTTGTAGGTCAAGGCTCTTTTTTCACCAACAACCCCTTTTTTTCCGTTCATGCTGCCATCTCTTCGAAAGAGAAGATGGAGTCCATAAGAGTTCTGGTTAACTTTTTGTAACCCTTACATCTTTGAGCATGATCCAAAGCAACTGGGTTCATTAAGTCAGTCACAGACTTGTTCTGCAAAGCAAAAAATAAAATAAAAAATAGAACATTTTCGTCAGGACAGAAACCGTGATCTTTTCAACGTTATTGCGTATTAGGTGAGGTTTTCACTTTGGAGCTGTGAGTGTAAATTTTAGCATACAAGTATTTATTGTTCATGCTCGAGTCTTGTTACTCTTTTACCTTCATAGTTATTCCAGAGTTTAGGGGTAAAATGCGAGAAATCTCCTTTAGTGGACTTAGATATGCTGGGCACTACTCACTGATCTATATAAATGACTTGATTGCTCATGACGTCATGTAAATTGAAGTCACCATATTCTATTGAATTAATAGGAAATCATCTGACTTTAATGAGTAAACATGACCTAACGAGTCAGTGTTTTTTATATTTGAATACTATACATTCTTACCATGTAAACATCCAAAACATTTCTGATTATTATCAATGTTGAAAACAGTTGTGCTGATTAATGTGTTTGTGTAAACCATTGTAACAGTTTAAACCATTTTTTCCCCTCCAGGATTCATTGTTAAATAGACCACAAACATATGAAGGGTAGTTTACACTAATGTTCAAACATTTGGGGTCAATGATAGATTTAAAAATGAACAGAAAAAAAAGAAGAAATTCATATTTTTACTCAGCAAGGATGCATTAAATTGATCAAAAGAGAGAGTAAGGATTTCTGTTTCAAATAAATGCTGTTATTTTAACCTTTCTATTCATCAAATAATCCTGAAAAACACAAAAATATGAAGCAGCACAACTGTTTTCAACACTGATAATAATCATAAATGTTTTTTTGAGCATCAAATCGTCATATTAGAATAATTTATGAAGGATGATGTGAAGCTGTGATGCTGAAAATTCAGCTTTGATCACAGGAAGTAATTGCATTTTACAATATATTCACATAGAAAACAGTTTTTATTTATTTATATTATTTCACAATATTATTGTTTTTAATGTTTTTTGGTGAACATAAGAGAAAGAGACATAAACATTTGTACCAAGACAATTAGTGTATGTTTGACATTAGTGTATGTTTGGCGTTTTACTTACTAATCATATGGTTCATCAATAGTGCTTTAGAGATGAAGATCAGCTCCACTCCGCTATGTTGCAGGGCATCAGCACTGAAGGATCTAAGAACACAACAAGCCATTTGTCACTGAGCCAACAATGCAATGCCAGGTTTATTGAAAGGAAAGAAGCTACAGCAGAGGTGAAATGCAGAAAAGAGAAAGAATTTAAAGAATATACAGAATATAATTTCTTAACTAGGATAACAGAATTTGTTTTGGGGTTTACTTATTCATTTAATTTTGCTCATACGGTGTAACTTCGTTTGGATGTCAAAACCTTCTTAAAATAAACAATTTAAAAAAACAAATTGAGAAATAAAATGAGGTTATTTAATGAGCTTCCTCGGCTCACCTGTGTCCTAACGTTACTTCTCCGGCAGCAGCTTTCTCCAGAAATGTTGAAGTCGTGGAGCTTTCTCTCTGTTATGGGTTATTTTGTTACTACTGAAATCACAGAACATTTTTTAATCAAAATGTGTTTAACGTTACCATTGAGCTAACGTTAGTTTCAGCCAATTTTCTTGCTCCTGAAAGTAACATCACCGATACGTTATGTTTACGTTTGTGTTAAATAAATTAGCTCACTTCCAAGTGCTAAAACCTTTACAAAACCTCTCATCTACACATAAGAGGTGATTAAAAGCCCAAACTTTAATAAATAAAAGTTCAACCGAGTTAACATTACGTTAGCCTAGCTAGCTGCTACCTCTTCTGAAAACGGTTGAGATCCTAACGGACTTTTTCCGAAGACACTGACTACACCATGTAAATTTTTAACAGAATCGTGTCAATTACAAGTAAGAGAAATGTCAAAAACAGTTGTGAGTATTATTCGTGTGATTTTAGAGACTAATCTCACCTGGGAAAAGCCGTGAAAAGTTTAAACAACATCGAGAGAGGGAGTTTTGTTGCTTACCAGTAGCAGTGGTCCCGCGCCGTTTCCATGGCAACTCTGCGCGTCGGCCGCTCAAGTGTTTGAAATACTCGAAAGTTCACGCGCACGGCATTGATTAAACCACGTCAAAATCATGCAGCACTTAAAATGAAAAGTTTAATATCCACTTTATTTTATTTGAAAACGTGCTTGCAGTAGCCTATTGATTATATCAAATATAATATACTGTTGATTATGTAAAATATATTTATAATATAGCTTTGGTAAACAGTGTTGAAATAAAAGTATTGCAAAAACTCATTAAAAACTATACGTGTATATAAGTGTTAGTATATACACATGCATTATAAGCTTTATGTTCTATGCATTTTGTGTGAAAAAGGCTATTGAAGCTAAAAATGTACAGTATTTGTGACGTGGTAACATAATTCACATGTTAAAACCTATTACAACGTGCAAATATATTTCACATGAGCTCCACATTATTACCTATAACATGTTTTCCACATGTGCCACGTGTTCCATTAAGTTCACATGTGGTGACATGTTGTTCACATGTGGTCGAACATTACTGCATGTGGTGACATGTTGTTCACATGTGGTGAAACATTGTTCACATGTGATGACATGTTGTTCATATGTGGTCACATGTGGGCATATGTGGTCACATGTGGTCACATGTGGGCACATGTGGAAAACATGTGATAACATGTGAAATTCATGTGTTTTTTCTGTAAGGGTCATTCTTCATTTTGTAATATTATTAATAAAATGTTGCACAGTTAGAGTTGTTTTTAGGATGTGGATGAAAAGCCCTCAATTTATTCTTTGTAATAAATGATGCTTTTACACCATGGCAGGAAACTAGCAACACACAGGAACACCAAATTGAATTGCCTGGAAAATGTGTTTTGCATAATATACAGCATTTAAATATTTTTTACAAACACTTGTGTGTGTATATACATTACCGTTCAAAGGTTTGGGGTTGGTAGGAGTTTTTAAAAAATGTTTTTTGAAAGACGTCTTTAATGCTCACCAAGGCTGTATTTAAAAAAACTAAATTTTAATCAAAAATATAGTAAAAAAAAAAAAAAGTTAAGTTGTGAAATGTTATTATAATGAATCACTTTCTATTTTAATATATTTAATAATGTATTTCAATCTTGTAATGGCAAAGCTGAATTTGCATCATCATAATCCTTCAGAAATCATAGTGCTCAAGAAACATTTATTATTTTTATCAATGATGAAAACAGTTGCTTAATATTTTGGTGGAAACCATAATGCATGTTTTTATTTATTTATTTGATGAATAGAAAGTTCAAAAGAACAGCATTTGTTTGAAATATAATGTTTTATTTTTCATTATAAATGTCTTTAGACTTTTTACTTACACTTTTGGTTAATTCAATGCATCCTTGCTGAATAAACGTAGTAATTTCTTTTAAAATAAAATGTTGTACTGAACCTAAACTTTTAAAAAGTTGTGTAATAAAAACATATCTCTTTTATGTTGATGTATATGCCTCTATTTTGCATCGAAAATTAACCTTGAAGAATAACATTTATTTCAAGGTGTCATATTTGTCATTTCTCTCTGTAGCTTGTGGTCCTGACTAAAACAGGTGAATATCTGTTTCGGATCTCTCCTTGGGCCAAATATGTCACAAAAATGCTGGATTCAGTCACATATGACTGGACCCATTGGGACCCTCCACAACCATACCAGGTGAGTGTACACCCTAGATTTTATGTAAAAATATAGTAGAATATACATAATATAATTATTCTGAGCAATTTTTTAAGACACTTTATCACCCTTCCATTTTGTTGGGGTCAATTTGGACCGCATTGGATTTTTAAACTTAGTAAAAATTTGGTCAAACTATACATTTCTTAAAATGTTGTGAGTTTTTCTCATTTAGGGTCATGAATGTGCATGCAAAGTTTTGAAACATAGATGTGTTTTGGAAAGGCTGTATACATTTTTGTAGGGGTCAAATTGAACCCAGTCCCCCATGGTTTTGCCAAGTAAGACATGTTCCTGGATCGACATATTATGTTGATCCTGGAACAACATTCCTGTCCGAAAATGTATCCCTACCCCAAAACCTAACCCTACCCACAAGTTGTCCCTAAAATCAAAGGGAAATAATACATGAATAACACTGATGTAGAAGCACCTAACCCTGGTTGTAAACCTAAACTTGGCATTAACTGTAAACTTGTCCCTCAAATCTGATTGGTTGATTTGAATGTTGTTCCAGAAACATGTTGCAACTTGTTTCCATGCAATTTGCTAAAATTGACCACTTTATCATAAATAGTTAAACACCAAAATATGAAATGCATGAGAACTTATTGAATTTAGACTCAAAGTTTACTTGAAATTGAACATTCACTGTTTCTCCATCTTCTTGAGTTTCAGTCAAAAAATTCAGTATAATTGCTACTTTTCATTTTGGACAAATCAAGTAGTGTTTTTCTGAAAGAATACTGGGCCAAAAGAGGGGAGGGGGGGGGGGGGGGGGGGTATGGGTTGTTTAGAAGAAAAGTCAAAACGGGAGTGAATGTTTGCAGGACCGTGATGTTGTTCAGGCGAGCATGTGGCCTTCCCGTGGCTCTCGACCATTTATCATCGGTAGCCATTAGCATCTCTGAAGCACCCGGCTCTTATGCCGACCCCTCTTCCGTGTTAGTAATGACACTCAAAACCGCCTCCTCTTAAGTGGCCTGCCACATTAAACAGCCAATTTAATCGGAGGCTACTCAACAATTGCTTTCGCCCTCTTGATGTCTTCGTTTCACTAAAGAACCATTTGCAAACGGCTTTGATATTGGGCGGTTCTTCCACTATGACAATGAGTCAGACTTTCCTTTGATATCTATTCATGGCATCAGACAGACATTCATACAGCGACTGTGGTCAATGCCATCATGCACATAATCAAGTTTTTTAGATGAGATGAATTGGTGACACAATGTCATCTGACAGTTATAGCGGTTGCTGCATGATTAAAGGCAGGAAATATTGCTTTTTTGCTTTCTGGAAATGGTACCATTTTCAGTGAGATACAATTGGTTTATCTTACTTTCTTGCATTTCACTTCTATGTGTCTTTGTATGTAATTGCTTCTGTTATGTCTCGCAATAAAACCGAAAGATTGCCATTGTAAAACCAATATTATATTTAAATTATATTGCATTCAAAACTACCATATATATATATATATATATATATTTTTTTTTTAATATAAACTTTTTAAAAAAAAGTTTAAATATTAAATAATAGGGGTAAATTAATCGGATTAATCGCATATATCAATATTTGCTGAGAAAATCCATCCAAATTAAGATTATTCAAAGATTTTGATATTATTATATATTATTTTTGATATTATATATTAATCAAAAGTATTTATTATATTGTATTACATTGCATTGCATTATTATTGTTGTGGAAGTCAAAAATTGAATAGACATTACAGAAATGGTTTGCTCTAGGTTGCATTTTCCACATTTTCAAGCTCCAAACTTTAGGGTTAGACTGAGAACTTGTATTGTTGCAAGCATTCAATAAAGTCAAATATTTGTGTTGTGTTGTGTTGCATCAGGATCTTTGAGGTAACCCTGATGCTCAGCAGAACCTTCTAGCAAAATCTCTCATCAAAACTCATTGAAGAATGGTGGATTGATATCTGGACCCTTCCTCTCGCTCTAACCTTTCTTCTTTCTCGCTCCCAGTTCCAGCACCCCAGACCCCCACGGCCCAGCAGTCTTCGTATCTACGAGGCCCATGTGGGCATCGGTTCGCCTGAGGAAAAGATTGCCTCGTACAAAAACTTCACCCGAGATGTGCTTCCTCGCATTAAGGATCTTGGTGAGTGATGAAATCTACAGAAACACTGCCAAAACACAAAATGATACAAGCCAAGTAGAGTGGAACACACCCCTCTCTGAGGGCCAATCGCTAACCCTGCAGCTCCCGGGCCAGAAGAAATGGATCCTTTGGTCTTTAAGAAAAAAAACTTACTGTTGATCAAAGAATTCAAATGCGCGATGTGATTTTACAACAACCGATTTGAAAGAAGTACAGTTAGCTGACAAAATGAGCATGTTTAGATTCTATTATATACTGTAACATGGTTGTGTTTATCTTATTCTTTATTTATCACTACACTAGCTGGCAGCAAAGGAATATAACTAAAAGCTATTGGAATGCGTTACTTCAGAAACATGAGGGTCTGTGGCATGACCCTCTATTAACTTATTAAAAATGCAATTCATGCATACAAAGACTTGAATACACCACTTATGACCATGTTTTTAATTTCTAAATATACGGTATATAACTGTTCTTATATTGTAATAAAGAATAAAAGCCTTTAATTCTTATTAAAATCCTGATTAAAAGTAGTGTGTATTAAATATATTGCTAGTAAAGCATTTTTTCTAAGAAATAATATATATATATACATGTATATATATATATTATTTCTTAGAAAAAATGCTTTACTACTCATTCATATATTTGAAAAAGTTTGTCCACCAAATCAAAGGCACATGATCCAACATGACTATGGCTCTGGACTATTGACCAAAACACATCTTAATACTAGGTGTAAATAGGGCCTATGTCAAGGTAAATAAGACTTTTAACATATGTAATAAGTTGACCATTTTATAACAAGGCAAGATTATTTCAGGAGGATGTAAAATGTCATGTGTTGCAACTTCCCAAAAACATGATATTTATGAAATAATAATTTAAACATTATTGAAAATGATTAAGTTCTGTACACTCACTTGTATTCTGAATGTATAAGAAAAATACTTTAATTTTCTACTTGACAAGGGCTGCACAATATATCGTTTAAGCATCGATATCCCGATGTGTGCATCCGCGATTGTCTCATCGCAGAATGTGCAATGTCAAGTATAGGGATTGTAGTTGATCGGTTCAGGTCTCTTTCTCTTCTTTTGAGCTTGAACAGACAAGTGCATGCAAAATTAAGTCAAAATACCTGTCTCGGCGAGTATCCTCATAAACGCAGTCGGTTATGTGTTGTAAACAATTGTAAACGGATTATTATATTGGATCCGTGCATGTGTCTTAAAGTGACAGCTGCCTAATATACACACAGCTGTTTGTCACCACCAATGTTAATCAAACAACAAAAGAGAAAGAGAAAATCACTCTTGAGGCTTTAACAAAGACAAATTGTTTTAATTAAGTTAATTATATTTAATTTATACAGTGAAGACTATGCAGTGTTATTTTGCATTTGATTATTCAATGTCTGTACCCGAATACTGTTAAATTTACCTGAAAAACATAAAGCACTAAATAAAAGCAGAAAAACCTAAATATCGCAATGTCAGTTTTTATCCAATATCGTGCAGCCCTAAATGTCATGTGCTACAGCCATCATTCAGTTTTATCTTTTCTTGTAAATGGTATAAATGCTTTTAAAATCAAATGAAATCAACTTGAATACAGATAATGTTATTTCTAAGAACTTGGGACATGCATTTTAAACAATTTTTTTATTTTTTATTATGGATACTCTTATTTCATTGCGCCATAAGTAATTTACACACCATCTGATCTCATATTTTGTAAAATTTGTTTTCCGAATACTCTGCCTTCCTTGCATCCTTTAAGAAAACCTAAAAAATGCAGTGCTAAGAAAATTGCTTAAGATGCAACCAAAAACGACCATGCATATTATAGTGTATAGCGACACAAATGAAGCAAAAGAGTGCATGCGACAAGCAGTTCCACATGGAATATCATGCTAACTGTCGCAAGCGGAACTGTTAAGTTCAGTTAGCAGACGTGAGAACAGCTGCCGCCCCGAGTGATTCCATTACTGCACAGAGAGCCGTTTCCAATGATTGTTTCCTTACAGAGCTTTTGACGAGGAAGCCACCCTACAATTACTTTGTCAGAAGGTTCCAAGTGAGTTTTTTTTTTAGCTGTGGGGATTACATCAGGTACCTTGAACATTAGTGTTCATTGCATTGGTCTGATCCATAAAACATCACCTTCTGTTGTTTGTTTTCTCGAGGGCTCAAGCGTTAACCTTTGCCTGGAGCAAATCTGTTTGTAAGCAGAGAGTTAGTTAGCGTAAAATTATTATTTTTTTGGGTTAAATGGGTGTTAAAATAGTGAGTCATTGTGCAGCCTTTGACTGCGCTCTCTCATGATCGGCGCTCTCCCCAGGGTTCTGTGCCTCAGTTAATGTGCTCCTCAACCCTCCAAAAGGCAACAAAAGCAAGGCTGCACTTTGGCTCCTAATGGAAGTGCAGTTTGGCACTAGGTTTAGAATTGGTGGTGCCCTTAAAATCTTTCATGTCTTATTTTTCCCCTTCAAAATTAATCCATTGAAGGAATTTTTCTAGTTGTAAAGGAATACATTTTGAAATGGACTTCTAATATAAAAGTTTAATGTCACAAGCACAATAATCATAATCCTTTGAAGTCTGAATTGGAGAATTTATTTCTCTAATAAAATGGCAGAGAATCTCTTAAAAAGAAATGCATTGAAAGGAACATTTCTATTTGAAAAAAAGAGAAGGTTGTTATATTATTATAGATTAAGTATGGCCTGCCCTTGAGATATCAGGATTTTTTTTTTGTTGTGTACTGTACTGCATGATAAAATGTTGCTTGACAGGTCTGAAGTTTGAATCCATTGATAACAGATTTTGTGACGGAGGAGGATTGAGTCAGACGAGCAGGGCACAAAAGCATCCTTTGTTCTGCGATTTTAATCAACATTCACATGAAAAAGTACAGCGAAAAAGTTGATTGACAAACAAAAGGAGATAAACGCAAATATCACAGATGCAGAAGGCAGCAAGTCTAACTTATGTACCACTATGCTGGGAGAGAGAAAACAATGGTTAGTCTCTCAGATGACTGAGGTACAGTCATAACCACTGCAAGATACACGATTGACAACACATCTCTATCCCAAAAATGGTGTTCATTAGGATCACTTGGATTTTTAAACATAGATCACACATTTACTAACCATCATTGTTCAGTTCGGTTGGTTCCTTTGGTCCGTACCAAAAAAAAGAAAATAATATATTTAGTCCTGGTTTGCTTAGCATTCTCACTGTCATTTTTAACACTGAACCTATATATATATATATATATAAAACACTGCTTTTATTATGTATATTTTGCATCAAATATATTAATACACTACTGGTCAAAAGTCTGGGGTGGGCAAAACATTTTTTTTTATGTTTTTAATGCTCACCAAGGCTACATTTATTTGATCATAAATACAGTAAAACAGTAATATTATAAAATATTGTTACAATTTAAAATACCTGTTTTCTATTTTAATATATTATAAAATTGAATTGGTTCCTGTGATGGCAAAGCAGAATTTTCAGCATTATTACTCCAGTCTTCAGTGTCACGTGATCCTTCAGAAATCATATGTTGATTTGCTGCTCTAAAAACGTTTTCATTATTATCAACATTGAAAACAGTTGTGCTGCTTAATATTTTTGTGGAAATTGTGATGAATAGAACGTTCAAAAGAACAGCATTTATTTGAAATATAAATCTTTTGTAACGGTAAAAGTCTTTACTCCTGATCAATTTAACGTGTTCTTGTAGAATAAAAGCATTACTTTCTTAACAAAACAATATGTAGGCTGCCGACCTCAAAACATACATCATGAAATATTAAATATTATATTTTGGGGATGCACTCAAGTTTCAAACACTGTGGAAATGTTTAGATAGAAGATCACAGACGGCGCTCAAAGCACCTACAGGATAGAAATCTATTTACATGATTCTCAGCTATGACGAATGCTTTAGTCATACTTATTACTCCCCTCCTCTAACAAGTGGAAGTTTGTCTGGACTCATAGCAGTTTGATTTGATGTTATTTGATCCTGGAAATTGCCCTTGCGGTATTGTTTTCATAAAACAACTCGTAAAAATGTCAAAAGAACAACTTGTTATAACCTATTGTCTTTATAGTGCAATTAGTCGTATACAGAGTCAACACACATTTGAGGAATGACAGAACAACAACTCATTAGTTCTGTTAAATCAACATTTAGTTTTAAAAATCTATACAAATACCAACAGCAATGGTCAATTTATCAAGTTTACTCTCAAAACATCTCCATTTATTTAATATCAGAGGACGTGTGGTGTTGGGCTGTTGTCAGTAGCAGAAAGTCTGTCCTCTGTCAGTTCTCTTTCAGGTCCTGGTGTGCGAGAGTGAGTTTTCCACTGGTTTGGTTGTTACAGGTTGTAGTTTACAGGAGCTTCTCAGCAGTGATTCTGAGCTCCAGGACTATGGGATGGAGAGATAGACTGGGATCAGATCCTTAATGAGAACTCTACCTGAAACCACTGGAAGTTTCAAAACTTCTTTGAAGTTCTTTATAAAAATCTAGCGATTTATAATTTTTATTACAAGCTTATTATTCACAGAAAGTGTAACACTGTTCTCATATTCTTTTCATGAAAAATCTCATCTTAATTGTAATTTATCATGCTGTAATTTTGCCATTAAAGATTTGGATTATGTTGGAGTTGACATTTAAACCTATGCTTTGGTTTCACTCATTTTTAATTATGTTTTAATTCATTTTCCAGTGTGGACATCACAGCACTTAAAATTAATCCATATTGTTAAGATAACAACTTAGATTTACGCCTTGATGTGTTTCACTTTGAAGATCTTCTTGAAGGTCTTTTGACTCTTAAATTGAATTAAAATGCTTTTTCTTTTCTCTTCTTTTTTTCTTGTGTTTTCATCTCAGGATACAACTGTGTCCAGCTCATGGCGATCATGGAACATGCCTACTATGCAAGTTTTGGCTATCAGGTCACTAACTTCTTTGCAGCTTCCAGGTACATTTACATTTATACATTAGGCAGACACTTTTATCCAAAGTGAGTTACATTGCAGTCAAGGTATATTATTTTAAGGGTCATGCATTACCTGGATATCGAACCCATGCATGAAATTGCCGTTGCTAGTACCATGCTGAAATGTGTGAGCTACAGGATTATTTCAGAACCAGATTTTTTTTTATATATAATCTGAGAAATTGAAGTAGTTTGGATGTACACTCACCTAAAGGATTATAAGGAACACCATACTAATACTGTGTTTGACCCCCTTTCGCCTTCAGAACTGCCTTAATTCTACGTGGCATTGATTCAACAAGGTGCTGAAAGCATTCTTTAGAAATGTTGGCCCATATTGATAGGATAGCATCTTGCAGTTGATGGAGATTTGTGGGATGCACATCCAGGGCATGAAGCTCCCGTTCCACCACATCCCAAAGATGCTCTATTGGGTTGAGATCTGGTGACTGTGGGGGCCATTTTAGTACAGTGAACTCATTGTCATGTTCAAGAAACTGATTTGAAATGATTCGAGCTTTGTGACATGGTGCATTATCCTGCTGGAAGTAGCCATCAGAGGATGGGTACATGGTGGCCATAAAGGGATGAACATGGTCAGAAACAATGCTCAGGTAGGCCGTGGCATTTAAACGATGCCCAATTGGCACTAAGGAGCCTAAAGTGTGCCAAGAAAACATCCCCCACACCATTACACCACCACCACCAGCCTGCACAGTGGTAACAAGGCATGATGGATCCATGTTCTCATTCTGTTTACGCCAAATTCTGACTCTACCATCTGAATGTCTCAACAGAAATCGAGACTCATCAGACCAGGCAACATTTTTCCAGTCTTCAACTGTCCAATTTTGGTGAGCTCTTGCAAATTGTAGCCTCTTTTTCCTATTTGTAGTGGAGATGAGTGGTACCCGGTGGGGTCTTCTGCTGTTGTAGCCCATCCGCCTCAAGGTTGTGCGTGTTGTGGCTTCACAAATGCTTTGCTGCATACCTCGGTTGTAACGAGTGGTTATTTCAGTCAAAGTTGCTCTTCTATCAGCTTGAATCAGTCGGCCCATTCTCCTCTGACCTCTAGCATCAACAAGGCATTTTCGACCACAGGACTGCCGCATACTGGATGTTTTTCCCTTTTCACACCATTCTTTGTAAACCCTAGAAATCCCAGTAACTGAGCAGATTGTGAAATACTCAGACCGGCCCGTCTGGCACCAACAACCATGCCACGCTCCAAATTGCTTAAATTACCTTTCTTTCCCATTCTGACATTCAGTTTGGAGTTCAGGAGATTGTCTTGACCAGGACCACACCCCTAAATGCATTGAAGCAACTGCCATGTGATTGGTTGATTAGATAATTGCATTAATGAAAAATTGAACAGGGGTTCCTAATAATCCTTTAGGTGATTGTATATCCTTAAGTATGCTTGAAATATAGTGCATTTATCATGTTTCTGCCAAGTGGTCTGGTAACTAAAAGGTTGTAGGTTCAAATCCACCGTTATCTAAACAATTCATTATTTGTGTTAAGGTGCTAACAAAATTGTTTAGGTCACAAGTAAAGACCACCATACCAAAGCATGTGTACTGTCACCATATAGCAGGCTTCTTAACTCGTGGGTCATTGATTTGTTCTGACCAATGCTATGGATAATATCATAAATAGCCTTGTCAACTCTTCAAAAGGAGGAGAAATATTCTCATATCATTGGTCGTCGACACCAATAGTCGTAAATAGGTGCAATTTTATCTGTCACTTGATGCCAGAACATGATCAAAATCATGCAAGGAAGAATAAAACACGGCCACTGCTGTACAGGAAGGATACATTTACAATTCCCTCTTGAAGCTGTCGGACGTCTAATAGCCTCAAAGTCACTGGGGCAGTTATGGATTGTATTTTTAAGAATGAAGGTTAACACCTACGTCCCGAAGGATATTATTTTCAGATTTTTATACTTTATAAATTGAAATTGAAATTTATACTTCAGATCTGGTTGTTCCGGATGTGCCAAGAACATGCACTTCTCCTTCACCAAAACACATTAACATGCTCTGCCCTGGTCACATTTTATTTATTAATGTTATATCTCAAGGCCTGGGAAACTGAGCATGTGACAGTATCTAAATGCTTTTCATTTTCCTTTAGAGCTCAGGGTTTGGTGGCGTTGTCTCTCAGCCTGTGCAGCAGTAATTCCAGTCTTTAAATCAGGATGAGGTCCTTTGTCAAGGGCAGTAATCTTACTGTAAACACATTTGCCGCTAATCCCCAAATAGAAGAAAGCCCTGATAAATAACAATAGTAAAAAAACAGAATTGGGTCTCCAAAATAAATAAACTCTCATGAAAGAAAATTGCATCTTTGAATGTGGGGAGTGAGCAACTCCCTCAACCTAATAAGATATGACAGAGTCATTGGGAATCTTTATTTGGCTTTGGCTGGCTGAGGCGGCCGGCACTGGTGGACCAGTCCAGATAAAGTGCAATGTATACAGAGTAATTTCACTCATGATTGATCACTCATGCACATTTAAGACCTATTCCTCTTTCTGCTGGGTGGAGAGAGCGGGCGAAGGAGGTGACTTGGAATATCATTAGCTCTCTTCTCACTTTACTTGTTCTTTGCCCTGATATCTTTTAACTCAACGGAGTAGATATAGAGCTGGACATGCTGGGAGTTTAGAGGGAGTATTTGTTTTGTGACTTTACCCTTGGATCCAAATCCACACACTTTATATCTTGTAGATAGCGCTTTATTTAGTTAGCTCCTGGTAGAAGATGTCGTACCTCGGACATTTTGCAATTTTCCACATTTTTCCATCGATGGCCATTTAAAATCATGTATTCTGATTAATTACAGTTTTGCAAGCAACATATAAATCACAATGTTTTTCCCTGGATCCTGTTAGCAGTATGGCTAAGGTGATTGGATTACATGTTTCTGCAACTAAGTGCCCATGAAGCAAGATCCAGGTTGTGTACCCTTACGAAAAGATATGAAATATATCCCTATATATGAATGATCAGTATATTAAATGGTTTAACAGTATAGTTGAAAATATACAGAATAATATATGGTGTTATACCGGTATATAACAATATATTATTCTGTATATTTTCAACTATACTGTTAAACCATTTAATATACTGATCATTCATATATTAAATGGTTTAACAGTATAGTTGAAAATATACAGAATAATATATGGTGTTATACCGGTATATAACAATATATTGAATAATACATAAGGAATTGCGCGCTTTTCATATATTGAAAAATATGTGACATCTATTTACTAATATATCATGAAATTTTATATTCAGTAATACACTTCATAATATCTAGATGTATGTGATTAGATATGGTTCTGCATGTGTAATATATTGCAGATATATTTACTCATGGAGAATGAACACACATATAAATATATAATGTAATACATTTCTTATATTTATAAATTATTTATATTATAAATGTTTCATATTTTCAAGTTTTTTAACAAAAGCACAAGCATACCTGCATGGACTTCAGTATTTAGCCAAGAGACTATCACTGTGTTGAGGAGAGCACAGTCATTATTTTATAGTAATACAGTAATTATAGTCTTAATGGTTTTCGGCCAGTCAAACAAACCACAGGTTCTACTCTTCAGAACAATGGTAACCCCAAAAACTCAGACATACCAGAAACCCTTTTAAATTCCAAAATAATAGAACATTAAACACTAACAGATCTCGCCCTATATTAATATTGAGAAAAACACATTAAATAACACTTAATTTTAACATTTGCTCTCCTTTAACAGTCGGAATCAACGCATGCTGGGAACTAGAAATCTGTTACATACATACATTCACATACATTCACATTTATATGGGAACATGTAGGTGCAATATATGTACACAATAAAGGATACAACTTTGTGAATATTACATGTAATGCTAATTTTGTCTTCATTTATAAATATTTTATATGCAAACTATAAGGTACGAGAGGCTGTGCTGTATCATGAATAAGTCATAGTATTATTCACGATACAGCACTAGCCTCAAGTACCTTATTGCTTTTATAAAATGGTTACCACACAATACAAATATTAAAGCCAAAAAATATGTATCAATTACATTTTTATGAAGTAAAATCACTAAAAGGCGTCCTTCCGCTGGAAGAAATAGTCTCTGACCGTGAACAGCAACATAAGTTACATTATTTCGCCATGTGTTGTAATGTCTGTCTGTGTTCCCCCTGTCTTTGTGCTTTTGGTTCAGTCCTGTTCACAGTGTTCCCGCTCCTCGTTTGTGTTCATGTATACCACGCCCCCTTGTTATCTTGTTTAGCTTGTTTGGCCTTGTATTTAAGCCCTGTGAGTTCTTTTGTTGTTACTGTCGATGTTGGATGCCCTGTTCCTGTTCCTAGTCTGAGTCTTTGTGAAGTTTTCAGTTTATTGAATAAAGTGTGCTGCATGTGGATCCTGCTTCCTCCTTGCTTCAACCACATCGTGACAGAAGAACTCACCAAGAAAATGGATCCAGCAATTGTCAGCAACCAGGCCCTCAGAAGTTTCCTTGCCTCGATATTTCAGGAAGGCCAGTCCATCGAGAGGTACGTGAGGGACTGTATGTCGTGCTGTTGTCTGGGGGCTTTAGACGACCTTGAGCTCATGGACTTGTTTTGGAGCGGGTTGGACGAGGACGTTGCCCAGATTGATGCCGGATGACTGTACCGGCTGGACCCTAGAGGGGTATGTCAACCTGGCCCTCTTCTGGAGCGGTTCATCATTTACTGTGAGCTTAGCTGCAGAGACACCCCGCAAGCCCACAGTACCCCCAGAGCCCTCACCGCTGGTCCCGTCCAGCACAGAGCCCGTGCTTCACGTCTGCCCAGCCGAGCCGGCGAACCACGTCAGCCTCGACGAACCTGAGCTTCACGACAGCCTCGACAAGCCAGAGCTTCACGTCAGCCTCGACGAACCTGAGCTTCACGACAGCCTCGACAAGCCAGAGCTTCACGTCAGCCTCGACGAACCTGAGCTTCACGACAGCCTCGACGAGCCAGAGCCTTCACCGCTGGTCCCGTCCAGCCCAGAGCCTTTACCGCTGATCCCGTTCAGCCCAGAGCCTTCACCGCTGGTCTCGTCCAGCACAGAGCCTTCACCACTGGTCCCGTCCAGTCCAGAGCCCTCGCTTCACGTCAGCCACGCCGAGCCTGCGCTTCGCGTCAGCCACACCGAGCCTGCGCTTCACGTCAGTCCTGCCAAATCAGCGACTGTTCACGTCATGCCCGCCAAGCCAGAGACTGATCTCTTCGTGCACGCCGAGCCAGAGACGGTTCACTTCACGTCTGTGTCTGTTCATGAGCTGGTGTTCGTTCCTGTACCTGCTTCAGCCAATGACCCCGTAGCTACCCCGAGGGGTCTTCACCGCCGTGGCCGCCTGAGGGGTCTTCACCGCCGTGGCCGCCCGAAGGGTCTTCACCTCGGCCGCCTGCACATCCTGCTCCGCCCTGGTCGCCTGCGCAGCCTGCTCCGCCCTGGTCTCCGGCGCAGCCTGCTCCGCCCACGTTCCATGGCCCAGGCCTGCCATTGCAAGACCCTGGTCCCGTTCCCTGCACGGACCTGGCCCTCCATCCCGCCTCTGCTCCACCACCCGCCCGAACTGTGTTTCCAGTTTTGATGGGCGTCGGGAGCCGCCCATAGAGGGCGGGGCTATGTTGTAATGTCTGTCTGTGTTCCCCCTGTCTTTTTGCTTTTGGTTCAGTCCTGTTCACAGTGTTCCCGCTCCTCATTTGTGTTCATGTATACCACGCCCCCTTGTTATCTTGTTTAGCTTGTTTGGCCTTGTATTTAAGCCCTGTGTTTTAGTCCAGTCCTTGTGAGTTCTTGTGTTGTTACTGTCGATGTTGGATGCCCTGTTTCCGTTCCTAGTCTGAGTCTTTGTGAAGTTTTCAGTTTATTGAATAAAGTGTGCTGCATGTGGATCCTGCTTCCTCCGTGCTTCAACCACATCGTGACAGCATGTGGATATTATCATTTTATATTCAGCTGCTAATTATGTTTTCAGTTGACCTTTTTATTTCAAGCAACGTATAGTTGCATGGACAGTCCTGGGGAGTAAACTAGAGTAACTACTTGGGTAAACTAAGTGTTTTGCTCAAGGACATGATTTTGATAATTCTGGTTCGACCCTTATGAGCTTTTAACCTTTTGCTTACCATTTAAGATATTTATCAACTAGCTTACACCACCTCATAACATCAACCTATCAAACATCTAACCAATTCACTCTACAAACCACGCATTCTCTTGTCTTTTGCCACAGCCGCTTTGGCACTCCTGATGATCTGAAGCATCTGGTTGATACCGCACACTCCTTGGGCATCACGGTTCTCCTGGATGTGGTCCACAGTCACGCCTCCAGCAACACAGAAGATGGGCTAAACTACTTCGACGGGACCGACTCCTGCTTCTTTCACGGAGGCTCCAGAGGGAACCACTCACTCTGGGGCAGTCGACTCTTCAATTACTCCAGGTGAACCAATGCTAAGAAAAATGCATGCTGAATATATTCTGCTCACATTCCCAACTCTTCTCCTGTTCGGTTAGTTCTCATTTGTGAATATCAAACAGCCCTTGTGTTTTCCAGAAGCATTCACATGTAAACACAAATGGATCTTAATGGCATCTTAAGGCGTATAAGAGGAACTCTGGTGTTTCCTTGTACCATCACAGCCGTTAACCTATGAATCCCATTGATTATTGAGCAAGTGTGGCACGCCTCACATGCGGTACTACACAGTATGCAGATAAGCTCTTTTTGGTAATTCTACAATCCGTGTCTCCTTACTCACAATAAGAACCTCAAGAAATTTCTCCCCGTCCCTCGTCTTTCTTCTCCCCTCTCCTCGTCTCAGAGATGACAGGCTTTCTTTACGCCACCTCTCAGCGCTGATCCATTAGAGGTCTCAGTGCTGCCCTCCGTTGCCATCTTCTGTAATGGGATTTCACATCATTGTTGTTTGAATCTGAAGAGTCATGCCTCACCCACCAAAATGATAGTCCTGTCTGGCGGTTACCTCTGCGAATGAACATTGATTTTTGGTCATATCTTGGTTATTGATTCTGGCTGTATGCCTTTTGTTCCCTCTGCTTCTCTGTTTTTCGCCGCTGGCGGTATTTTAATGTTTTTACATAGCTTGGTATGGGATGGAATATCAGTTCCAAAATGAAATAGATACTGGTCATTGTTCAAGTTGAGCACATTGCTCTTTATCATGCTTGAAAGAATGTTTAATGGTATTTGAGAGACAGAATATTTTAGGATATTTTAAGGCAAAGTTACTTTGATACTGTAGCTTGTAAAGGTACAAACTATTCATAATTTAAATGAATACAATCAAGTTTAAATTACAATTTATGTTGTACTCCTATTTTAATAATATACATTTTATGAATATATTCTATATATTTATTTATATTATTTTATATATATCTGCTACAAAAACCTTATGTAGTGAGGATCTCAATTAGAGGGACAACATTAAACAGCATTTTTAACAGATCAATTAACTATAAATCTCACTATATAAGGAACAACTTAAATGATGTAAGGGATAATCCATGGCTAGCTGTGCATTAAACGACATTTGCACAACCTGGAGGCAAAGAACGGCCTGGTTTTTAATATTTTTAATTTTAGCTTTAGTTAACAACAACAACAACACTGACCGTAAGCTACTGACTTAAAATGTAGTCAAGTTCTACATTTTAATTGAAAAAATTTTCATTTGAATAATTAGTTTTGTGTTTAGTCTTTGACTGCTTTGTTATAATGGTTTCCCAAATGTTTTTATGCATGTAATCTTACTTTCTTTTTTTTTTCTTTTTTTCTTCCAATAACATCATTTTTCCTGTGTAATTCTTGCTAGTACTCTCAGCCATCAAATATTAAGCCTAGGATTTATTCTTGTGCTCAAGGAGAGAAAATATCATGAAACCTTGGAAACGGCATGCCACAAAGCATAAAGAAAATGCATATAATAAAAGAACAAGAGCGTTAAAACTGCTCATCTCTCATTCTCACTGTGCTGTTGAATTAATCTTGAAATAACACAGATGGTTTTCAAATCATCTAATGGCATTATACTCTGAAACTTAATAAGTATGTATAATATAATAACAATGTGCAGACTATTTTTTCAGACAAACTAATCAATGGTTTCTTGAAAGAAACTCAAAACAACAGCCTGTCTATTCTAATCTTGCTTTTAATTAACTTGCATAACATCTCATTTTGACTTTCTTCATTTATCCATCTTTGATTTTTGAGTTTAATTATTCTATTGAAAAGGCATAGTGTTTTTGAATGTTTGAATTAATTTGATGATCTTTTACTTATTTTCGTAGCTCACCTCGCAACTTGATCTGAGTGTGCGTATTTGTTTATAGATATATTCAGGACCATTTAGTGATGGAATAAAAAGACAATAGATGGTACAGTTTCAAAGCTTGGTATTATGAATAATTTATTTATTTATTCTGTTTTATTTGTTAATCTGTTATTTTGTGGACTGTTGTTTGAAGGCTTTGATGTTGTTGTTGTTTTTTTTCTTTCGATGTTTGTTCAGACCCAATTATTTTTGATACTGATGAGGGATTGGTAGAGTGGCAGTAATATATTGATTCTTCTTTAAAGTCTTTCATCTGTGGCCTGCTGCAATTGTTGGTGTCTCTGTGGTGTAAATGAGCCTGTCTCATCCACCCCTTACCTCTGTCAATTCTCTCTAACAATCTCTTCTCTCTATTTCCTTCGCATCTCTTCATCATGCATAAATTCCGAGTGCTTGAGAATGAAGTGTCTAATGCTTCTGTAAAAGTTGTTTTGTTTTGTTTTGTTTTGAAGTGCAGAGCATTGTTCACCCCGGGTGTTTGCGTCTTTTGAAGGTGATTGTAAATGATAACTGTGTCGACTCCATCTACTTCGACTATCCTTGTGGATTTGACACGGCCCATCGAAAATAGCCCGGAGGATGACCCTCTCCACCCTCATTTCCATGAAAATCCAATCAGAAGATGCATGCCTCACTTCTGTGGGTCCGTAAACGGCCGTGACGTCCCCTGATCTGATACACTCTGTGTCCGAAACCAAACGCAAAATGTTTTGTATGAAGTTTCCATACAGGCATCCAAAGCATGCCATGTCTAAAGATCTAGAACAAATTCCAGTGAGCTTTAGACTTGATAAACATATTTAACTTTATATTGTTTTTAGCAGAAATCATAAAATACTATTATATTATATTACATAAAATATTATTAATAATAATAATCATCAGCATTTTAGTATCATTTACTATTTTAGTATACATTTATATTTTAAGTTTGGTTTTTAATTTTGTATTTTCAGATTTAGTTTTATTAATTTTGTTATAGCTTTTGTCGTTGTTATTTAGTTTTTGTTTTTTAAAAATATTTCTATTTAGCTTTAATTTGTTTTAATTTCAGTTGAAGTTTTTAATATTTTATTTTAGCTTTATTTAAATTAAAGAATTTTTTTTATAGTTTAACAATAACAACACTGATTATAATTAATATTATTATTAATTAATAGTATTTTTAACATTATTTTAAAATATTTGTTATAGTATTAGCAATATTATTATATTGTAATTGTTATAATATATTATAATTAATAAAAATATGATGATTATTTAATTTAAAGCTCCAGTCCGTAACTTTTTTGGGTAAAAAATTATCCAAAATAAATTTGAGCAAGTACATAACCAGCCAGTGTTCAAAACTATCTGCTTGCTTTGGCTCGATTCAAAGCGGTAAGGTTGTAGTAATGTTTTTAATTTCAGTGGTACTGGTGGATTCCCGCGGGAGATTCGAGCATGTCTTTGCGTCATTACGTCACATCTGTACAAAGAAGGAGTCTCGGCTAGTAGGCTATATTGCGTGTGAGGATGCTGGAGGTGGAGATTTATAGCCTTTTCTCACAGCACTTGATATAATTAAACTTATCAATTTGATGGCGGATCCAGAAAGGTTCAAACAACAATCACCAGTGACAACTAGAGATTCACCCGCTGTAAAATGAAAAAGACTTCGGACTTCGGAGTGGCTACAGAAAAAAAAAAAGACTGCAACCGGCCCATGCGAAAACAAGGATAAATGTCAGAAGGGCTTTAAATGTAGTCACGCAATGCTGATGTTGTTAACTTTAACGATTTGAGAACAAAGTATAATTTGCACGGTTTGACGTGATATGATAAGCGATCGTTAAATTTAATCGGCGCGATTTACTGCTATGATTTTTTTCCCTTAGATCAGACCCTTGGTCAGAACAAAAGTGGATGTTACTTGTTCAAATGACATTTTCCGGTGAAAATTCTTATGTTGGTCATACTTCCAAAAGTAGAATCTGTGATTCTGAATGACAGTATCCACACCGGCGCGGTGACTGACAGCCGTTCAGGCTGACAGCACGTTCTCCTCAAAACATTGGATTCATCCGCGCTGTGCCGTGCCGAGGCACAACCCACGTAAAGTTGATAATTCCGTGAATAACTGCAATTGCAGATTTCGAACATAGATGGCGACAAAGAGGACTGCAGCTTTAATAATATGAATCATTTTATAATCCAGTTCTTTCAACTGTACCATTAGATTTGATTTTCTGCAAATTACATCACATTAACAACTTTTGGTGCAGAAGTGGATGTGGACCATTTACTGAAAAAAGTAATACTGCTATTTAACTGGTTTCATGTGTGAAAGTGGATTAAAGGTGCAGTGTGTGATTTTTAGCGACATCTAGCGGTTCGGTTGCGAGTTTGCACTAAGGGCTCAGCCCACTGCTCACCCCTCCCTCCCGAAGAAGCTACGGTGGCTAAAACGGGACAAACATATTGTCGTCCTGAGACAGCAGAGAATAGCTAGAGTAAGCCAAGAGTGTGTAACATTGTCACTGTTTCTGTACCACAGTCCATTATAAACCACATCATGGATAAAGTTTACAAAGCCATAGTCAGGTGAGGATCAAAGGTCTTAATATATAATATAATAATAGTAATCAGCTGATTGTCTCACAAACGTAACCAGCACATTTCTCTCCACATAGCAAACCCATAATACAGTGAGGGAGAAGAACCACATGAAACTATGCAACTATATATGTTTTCTAACAGGGTAGTAAAAGTTTAGCTGGCTAAATATGAGCTGTTACTGTGGCTGAGCTGGTTAAAGCGTAAAGCCTTGTTTAAACTCGACACGTCCGCATGATATGAGCCCAAAGGTGCGTGCGGCAAAAATGACATGATTGTAACAGCGCGCGCGCCTCCGCATCCCCTAGACACCATTTACTACACACAATAGGCTTTTTTCTCTGATTTTGAAAACTCTTCGCGATCGACTTAAAATGCTTCCAAGATCGACTTGTCGACCGCGATCGACGGGTTGGTGATTCCTGTAACGTTACTGTTTTACGGTCAATGACAAGAAGAGTACTAATCAGCTGTCTCACGAACGTAA